CATATCCCCTCGCGATTATTAGCATTATTTTAATGCCAAAAAAAACATCAGGTTTCAAAAAAATCAAATGCATAAAATACTAATATTTAATCCGTAATAACGCGCCTTATTCGATTTAATCTACATAATCATATTTATGCTAATTAAATTTTTTGTTTTTTTAAATGTATTATTTGGAAAAAAAATTTTTTTTCAGAAGCAACAGACTTCTAATAAGCGACTTCCGTTTTATGGAAATCTGTCGTTTTTGATATTCCAGCCCCCCGAGTATACATGCGACATAAAGAACTTTGTTCTAAAAAAAGGTCTTTCACTTCCCGCAACTCGTGACCATCGCGTGCGTGGAAAAAAAGGGCAGTACAGCCGCCAAGGGATCCAGATACCTACGTGTGTGCATGTATCGTATTTCGCTCGCACTTTTAGATTTTTCTCTTTCATTGTATCGTCGCTGCATGGGCTTTCAAAGGCTCATCGTACGTATATACACATGTGTGGGTTTCCTCGGGGCTGAAAGAGTGGCTTCGACGGAGGAGCAGAGATTATATATACACTAGGGCTTGTTTTATTTCTGAATCCATCTATAGGGATTCGGTGCGCGCCGCACAAAAGCCACCGAGGATGTAGGTCGCCGCGAGAGGGGCCCTTTTTCTTTTACGAATATCTTGGTGGGGCGTTTATTATAAAATTTATGAGTGGCTTTTTATCGCTATAACGAAGGGCGTCTCATCGAGTTGGGAGGAAAAATACAGTATATTTGGAAAGCCAAGTGGTAAAAATAAACATATAGAAAGCGAGTGCTCTTTGATTCAACGATGGGAAAGGAAAAAAAAAAGGTACCGGGGCAAAGGAGGACAACGTATATGTTTCTATACGCGCGTGCTACATCCTTGAGGATGAAAAGGGGCGCGTAAGGTGTTCGCTAACGTAGACACAATTGACTTTTGGTGCTATATTTGCAATTGCATGCTCTCTCCCTTTTGACGCTCCGTATACGTCCCAAGAGGGTTTGTATAAGAGGAGAGACGCGAGCACTCCACTTTTGTTTTTTCTCCGCGTTATATATTTCACTTTACTGAAGTATACACAATATGTCCTTATATATACTTTTCACCTGTAGCTTATAATGTTGCGCGGAGCAGGTACAGTTTGTAGTTCTTCTTTTGCCTTTTCACTCCCTCAGATGCCTTTTCTCTGATTAAATTTCACTCCGAGCGGAGCTTTTGAATCGTTGACAGAGTAGTAATTCTAATTTCGGAGAATATTTGCCCAGTGCCCAACAACTCGAAAGTCAAACTTTGTATGTTTTAACTATATATGTATTATTCCAAATTTTGAGAATATATGTATAGGTGTCCCAAAAATGGTATGATTTTTATTAACAATTTTACGGATATGAAAAGTATATTCTCTTGCAATTACTTTAGTGATACTGATGATACAAGTGTCGATTCACACGGGCACAAATTGATGATTGACTGAAAAATAACTTTTCTTTTGTAACACTCTAAAAAACCATTTTTACTCGTGATTTTGATTAAAAAAAAATTGTTTTCTCTGTAACAAAATTAGTACGAAACAACAGAGGTGACAATTTTCCCCAAGCACCCTCGCTCTCGCAATCCGAAATCAAACGATTCTTGTTATGCAAGTGGAAAAAAAAAAAAAAAAAAGCCAGAGTGGACTCAGTTGAGCCGGAAACTTTCATGATTAGTCCGCCGGACGAAACAATGCTGTCATTCAAACGGAGAGGAACAATCCTGTACAGTACTCCAAACGCAAAATATAATACAGCGCCAACAGAAGTTCATCCAGAATTCCCTTTGCTTCCCGCATATATATGCTGTATATACACGCACAACACACGAATCGCGGCACGAATTGCGAAGCGCCAATCAATATTTATATGCACAAAAGCTCACCCGCTCTATGTACTCCATATACGAGGACACTTGATTTATCGTGGCTCCGAAATTTTACATACAATTCCGTACAGTTGCACATTGTGTGACCCTTGCGGTTTCCCTCGGCTACTGCTCCGTGAAGCGTGACCGAAAAAAAAAAAAAAAAAAAAAAACACCATCACCACAATAGGTGCGGTTTTTGTGTACTATATATGTACAACATGCACCGTCGTCTATCGTATAAGCCACCTTGATTCATTCCCCGCAACACATGAACTTTCCATTAACATCGTGGTGTTGTTTTTTTTTTTTTACAAGCACCGATTGCCGCAGTCGAGTGGCAGCAAGTGTTTCTGCGCCCTTGCGGTTCTCCCCTCTATCTGCTTCTCGTAATATATATTACACACAACACGTATTTCGTTCCTTCTTCACTTTGGGGAAGAATGGGTTAAGTATACACCACAAAATAGCTTTTACCGAGAATATTTTTGCGAGCGTGAAAAAAAAAAAAAAAAAAAAAAAAAAAAACACGATGTACACAAATGTGCAGTTTCAATCAAGAGCTTATAGTACTATAGTTGTATTTTACCTATAGTCTTCCATTGTACATACGTATATTTTATATAATATGTACTTCACGAAACAGGTGGGCCTGGCAGTGCCGTACAAGTCCTTCGGCTCCCGTGAGTACACGAAAGCCGTGAGCAAGGTCGTAAACGCCCTGCAAAAGAGCACCAAACGCCCGAATCTCAGTCTCTTCCAGCACTACGATATATTCGTCAAGGTGGCCATGCAGGAGCTCACACCCAGCCCGATGAGTAAGTCCGGATGATTATGCGTATCTGCGTGATTTATACACAGGTCAATGGGAAAAACTCGCCAATAAACTGTACCATACAGCCGTACTCCCGAGAAAACCACCTTTGGAATACGTGATACATTGTACATCATCCGAGCTCCTTTATAAAACAAACGTACCAAAAGCCTCGAAACAATTACCATCAACTCTTGCGAGATCCGCGTTTTCATATCCCCTCGCGCGACTTACAAATGTTCGCAAGAAAAACTCTTTTACTCAGCACTCTCGGCTCACGTTTTCGAGCTTCCTCTCTTCGACTGTATACACAGCTGCGTGACAACTTTTCTGACCGTGAGATAACACGCGACGAGAGTTTTTATACGCGATACAGCACGGGAAAAAACTTTTCACGAGTCTCGGACCCCTCCTCTCCCGACCCTCGTCCTACTTCATCGTAACAACGACCACCTGGGTATATGTACGATATCATCTAATCCTCGTTCAATTTGGAAAAACATCGTACATACTTGTACTTACATTTTAAAACGTAAAACCTTTCGCTCTGGTGGACAAATTTTTTTTTTTTTTTTTCAACCGTACGTATAGGTGAAAGAACGTACATATTATATGTAAGCCCGGTGTTATTAGTGAGAAATTAATGAAACGGCTGCACCAGCCGCAGGTTCATCTTTTATCGTTTTCACCAGGAGCTTCGCATTAATATAGCTTTTCTTTTCCCTCTTTTCTTTTTTTTTCATCCCCCGCGTACGTCCACCGATATACTGGGCATCAGAGACAAAAGGAAAGGTACATCGTTGTATATCCGGTGGCCAGGAGAAAATTAATTAGTATAGAGCTGGAAGGGCAGCGAGGGTACATATATATATATATATATATATATATATATATATCTGGCAATCAAATGATGTGCATCGGCAGTTCTCGCTCGCTCGCAGTAGTGATTTCATTGACGATACACACGTGCCTCGTTATCAAAACACGCCACGGCAGTGGCAATACTTATTCTTGCCATAGTTTTTACGCAAACCAAGAATATATTGTAATAACCACTTATACGGGGGAGCATCGGCTAGATCAGCGCGGATCGGCGATAAAACGAAAGGGGTGAGAGGAAAAAAAAGCGTTCAAGTCGGCGCCAGCAACGCATTTCCCATAGCCATGTAGTACCAAGCAGTACAACTCGGGATTTTTTATAATTATATTTTACAGATGACAATAGTTACGTACGTTTGAGGGGAAGAAAAAAAATTAAAATAAAAACAATGTACATAATCACAAGCAGAAAAATCCGCGTGTATGTGCTGTACGACACGAAGGCCGACGGGAATCCGTAAAAAAGCGAGATTGAACTCGTTCCTTCCCCCCCAACATCCGTAAACTCGTTTTTTTTTTTCCCTCGCACGCAAAGGGTTGAAACAGAGTGTGCAATCGGTTTCTGCGCAGGCCCGTGCATTTTTTTCACCCCCTATCGAGCGCTTGGTACGTGTGTGTCGTACAGCACACGGGGCGCGGTCTTTTTTTTTCTTCAACAATGAATATGATGACATTTTCTCCGCATATTTGTACGAAAAAAAAAAGTCCACAAACAATCAAACTAAGTAAGTAAAAAAAAGATTTTTAAGCAGCTGTACAATAGATTACCGAGATATGGGAGATATATTTACGTATGAACCCAATTTTGTTTTTTTTGTTTTTTGTTTTTTATTTTTTGTTTTTTGAACAAATAAAATATAAATTGATACAAAGGCGCCCGGTCGATGATTCATAGATTAAAATAATCACGTTAATCCGCGGCACTCGTGGTTCCGGCGCAACGACTGCGTTGGCGCACGCGCGCGGCCGCTTCACCTCAGAACATTTATATATATGCATGTTTGAACGAAGGAAGGATAAGGTAAACGAACCAGATTTTTTTTCAAACAATAAACGCAGTTGAACTCTTTTTAACGTAAATACACGTTACGTGCGATCGTATTTTTACCCGGTACAGAATGTTAATTGTAAGCCCACACACATGTACACACACACACGCAACCACATACAAAAATATTTATAAGCATTAGCAATGATGCAAACGGGATTAGTTTTGTACTTTATTATGTATAAGTAGGTCTGTTACTACGTTGATAAGGGACGTTTTTGTACGACAGCGCATCGTGTTTTTGTTGATTGTAGGTACATCTCCCGTACTCCTCTGCCCCCCCCCGTGTCCCTCGTCTGTTCCTCTTTGACCTTGATTTTTTTTTTTTTTTNCTCGGAGCGCGAGGCTGCGGTAGACTTTACGGTGCCCTTCATGGAAACCGGCACCGCCATCGTCGTAGCCAAGCGCACCGGCATCATTTCGCCCACCGCATTTCTCGGTTTGTCACTTTATTCATACCTATATATATATACACATATACGAGTCGACAGTAATTGGCTGAACGTGCGATGGCAAATAAATTCTCATCGCTCTCGTCGCACGAAAGCTGAACCTTCCCATCCTCCTTGTCTCCCTGGATTAACAAATGGGAGGATATTAAATTGTATATGCAACGCACACCCGACCCTGGCCTTATATGTGTATATGTTATGGTGTGCCCAGACATACTGAACTCGCTGTGCAAGGAGTTCCTGTCGATGAACGTGTCGGCGATACTCTATCTGATGAATTACGAGCAGTACGGCAGGAGCACGGCCAGCGCCCAATACTTCCTCCAATTGGCCGGATACCTCGGCATACCCGTCATCGCCTGGAACGCCGACAATTCCGGCCTCGAGAGGGTAAGCTGCTTTGCCGAGTCTGTGTCATCTCTCTCTGATGCCTCTTTTTTTTTTTTTTTTTTTTTTTTACCGTTTCATATTGCACTTATTCACTATATTTCCCAAGGTAATGGTAAAATGGGGATCAAAAGCTACGCGCTGCGGCTCGTTCGACGAAAGTCGGATAACGCGAAAGTTGAAATTCCGCGCGTGNTTCATAGGCGTTTTTTTTTTTTTTTTTTTTTTTTCTACCGTTTCATATTGCACTTATTCACTATATTTCCCAAGGTAATGGTAAAATGGGGATCAAAAGCTACGCGCTGCGGCTCGTTCGACGAAAGTCGGATAACGCGAAAGTTGAAATTCCGCGCGTGGAAACTGTTTGTGGGGTTGGAACGGTCAAAGTAACGTTGCACCCGTTTGGTACACGAACAACCCCATAAATAATAAGAGAACGGTAAACTATGGAATACACGTTTGTACAAATTACACATAATAAAATTAATGTTAATTTTGAATAGTTACGTTACATACCTGCTTTGTGACATTTTATTGGACCGTAATTTAAAAAGCGAAATCATATGAGCAATCCATTATCGAAAACAACCATACACGTAGTATGGTTAGCGCGACGAAGTGGAACCATATATATATATATACATACCCTATATTGGTAAAAAGTAAAATATTGTATACACAACGTGCCCCCCAACCCACGCAGAGTAGCTTGCACCTGCAGCTGGCCCCGTCGATCGAGCACCAGACGGCAGCGATGCTGAGCATCCTCGAGCGGTACAAGTGGCACCAGTTCAGCGTAGTGACGTCCCAGATAGCCGGCCACGACGACTTCGTCCAGGCGGTGAGGGAGCGCATCTCCGAGACCCAGGAGAGGTTCAAGTTCACGCTGCTCAAGGCCGTCCTCTGGACCGAGAGGCAGGACCTCGTCGAGCTCATTGACAGCGAGTCGAGGGTCATGCTCCTGTACTCGACCAGCGAGGAGGCCAACGTCATATTCAGGCAGGCCAAGGAGCTCGAGATCACCGGCGAAAATTACGTCTGGGTCGTCACGCAGAGCGTCATCGGCGACCGGCAGCCCAGCCACCACTTTCCCGTTGGCATGATCGGTGACAATCTTTTTTCTTTTCTTGTTCTATCTGTACAAAGCCGACGTACTTTTGATTCATTTGAGAAGAGAAAAAACAAAAATAATCATCCAAAAGACCTTTGGCATTTTCGAGGACTTAATATATACACCCTTCGAAGCGCGACAGGCTCGAAAGCACCTTTTGAATTTAATTACAGGGCTCGACTTCGACGTACCGCCTCGTCGAGTCATCCGATTACACCGCACACTTATAAGTACGCCCCGTAGGGGCAAAATTCGCAATTTTCACACCTCGCGCGTGAATATATATCAAATTCCGGGAAAACTTGTTTAGTACAAGTCGATGAGCTGCGATTAAAATTTGCCTCGCAAAGTCCCTTCATTTAAATTGTATTGCTTTTCCAAGCCTCCGCCGTGGAGTATAAAAAAAGTGAAAATAAGCGATCGTCAAGAGCGAAAATCAAGTCGGGCGTATGTGTGTAGGGGTGCACTTTGACACGGGCTCGACGAGCCTCGTCAACGAAATAGCGACCGCCATCAAAGTGTACGCCCACGGCGTCGAGGGTTTCATCAACGATCCCAGGAACTACGGCTACAGCCTCAACACGCAGCTCAGCTGCGAGGACCACGGCAGCGAGTCCCGGTGGAGCACCGGCGAGTACTTTTTCAAGTGAGAGCTGCTTTTCTCTTCATTTCCCATTTTCTTCCTCCCTCTTGGTATATATACGTCCCCACTAGTTCTGGGGTATAAAAATAACGCCACACAGTTGATGGCCATAATTTTTGCCAAACGTCACGGGGCACACACCAAAAGCGCCGTTGATCGGTATTTTTTCCGTATAAAATTTTCACCCCTGCCCTCGTTTCCATTTTTGGGGCTCGCTACAGGCATAATTATAACATTTACATCGTCGAGAGTTGGGCTTTTCTCAAAGTCGTCGTTTATGTAGATGATATATGGTAAAGTGCGGGACGCATTAGCATTTTAATCACACGGCTCATCTAAATACATGCAAAAAACGTAATTTCAATGTCAAAGCCCGGCGCGTTTTGCTAAAAAAGAGAATGTAAATTTCCTGGATCCATCGGACAAATTGCCAATATATATATCCCTATTAAGTACTACACTCTTTGAAATCTCAAGGCAAACGACGATGATCCACAGGTACTTGAAGAACGTGTCGGTGGAGGGCGAGACTTACGGAAAGCCGCAGGTCGAGTTCACGCAGGACGGGCTCTTGAAATCCGTCGAGCTCGAGATCATGAATTTAAGACCCGGCCTCAGCGGACAGCTGGTCTGGGAGGAGGTAACCGACCACCCACCTGTTTTTTTATCTCTCTCCTTTGAAATAAAAAAAAGATACAAGAGCAAAGTGGTATCGTTGAAATTCCTTTTCCGATGAACGATCAGAAAAGAAAAAAAAGAGAGAAACGATAATAAATTACAGTATATAAATGTATGGTTCACAAATGTTGAAAAGATCGGGACGTGGAAGTCGTGGGAGAAGGACGGTCTCGACATAAAGGACATCGTTTGGCCGGGCAACATGCACACGCCGCCCCAGGGCGTGCCCGAGAAGTTTCACGTCAAGATAACCTTCCTCGAGGAGCCGCCCTACATCAATCTCGCGCCGCCCGATCCCGTCACGGGCAAATGCCTCATGGAACGCGGCGTCCACTGCCGGATAGCCAAAGAAGCCGAAGCTCAAGAGTAAGCCTCGTTTTTTGTCACAATTTATTTAGAGGTAGGATTGGGACGGGGCAAGCCTGACCAAACTCGGGCTTTTCTACTTGACGCGTATGTTCCTTCCCATATGAGAGATCAGACCCGATGCTTTGTCGAATCTTTAAGCGCAATAAACTCGTAGACAGCTCCCCTTTAAGTGCTTGTTTATCCCCTTGAAAGCGAGATCCGTGTCCGTACGCTTATAGCACACGTGTCTTTGATGCCTTCTCGGTACGTGTCGCAACCGCAGCTCCTCGTACGCGAACCGAACGACGAGTACGACGACGATGGGAACGACGGCGGCGGGAGGAGAGTCGCAGGCCGCCACCACGATGCGCAACGGTACCATTACCTACCAGTGCTGCAGCGGCTTTTGCATAGACCTCCTGCAAAAGTTCTCCGAAGAGATGGGCTTTACCTACGAGCTCCTGAGGGTCGAGGACGGCAAATGGGGCACCCTCGAGGTGAGAACTTATTAAACAACTTTTATCCGTTGTTGAAAATGGAACAAGGCATCTTTATACCTGCCTTTACGTGTCTGGGCGATTATTATTCGATCCCGTGGAACTCGTTGGCACTCGCGAACTCGGGCCATTACCTATTACAAGTGAAGATGAAAAGCCGCTAGTTTACCGCGAAATTGACGCCAAAGGCCGAACTAAATGGGCGCGACTTGCTATTAGTTTTCTTCTTCTATTTTTGGCAAAAATTTCCGTCTAAGAAATCGACGTTACACGGGTGGCGGAACGATAATCCCGGGTGGCGTTAAATTTTAACGTCAAGGGAGAAAAAAAAAATCGGTAAGCCGTGGTTTCTTGGCCCCGGGCCACTGTTGCCTTTCACGGGCTGTGTGTCCCCTAATTTCGTTACCCTAATCCGATCGGTTGGCCGTTAAAGTGCTTTAGCTCTGGCTTTGTCGAGACGATAAACCTTCGGGTCGCTCAAGTGCCGAGGGCAACCGACTCCTACAGGGAGACTCGATGCTTTGGATTCTCTTGTCTCGCTTTCGTGCTGTTGTTTCAAGGCGAATGGGGTATGTTTATACAGTTCTTGGGCCATTGCGGTTTTATAACGAGTAAACTATTTATTCCGCCCATACAGCCTACTTGTCGAAAGATCGAGCCCTAAAGCAGTGTGGCTTGGTTATAAAATGTTTAGTACCCATACAAAATTTATCGCAAACGATATCGATAAACATATTATAAATCCCACAAATGTGACAAAAGATTTAGCTTTTTTTTTTTTTTTTTTTTGCCCCAGAATGGCAAATGGAACGGGCTGATAGCCGAGTTGGTTAACCGTAAGACCGACATGGTCATGACCTCGTTGAAGATAAACTCGGAGCGCGAGGCTGCGGTAGACTTTACGGTGCCCTTCATGGAAACCGGCACCGCCATCGTCGTAGCCAAGCGCACCGGCATCATTTCGCCCACCGCATTTCTCGGTTTGTCACTTTATTCATACCTATATATATATACACGCGCTTTTGTTGATGCTGATGGCGCTTCATCCAACGACGCTTGTTTCTACATACACACACATGCCTGTATATATATTCCTCTCTCCGTATATACCTCAAATCTCCCTTATGCTCCCGGCACTTGATACCCCCGCATATATATATTGTACAACCATTTCTTGTGCACATTCTTTTAATTTCCTCTTGCATTTTTGAAGATATAGACCTAGACATTTTTTTTTTAGCACATACTAATGACGTTGTAGCTAAAATAAATAAAAAATTATA